CATAATCCAGGAATGGTAAATGGGACTACTGGCAAAATAAAAACTATTGAATGTGAGAGACCCATTTGATCCTGACACCCACTGTTTAATGCTAGAATTTTTTCCCCCTCAGACAATGCTGGCCCACATAAATTGCTTACAGTGCAAAAATTAACCCATAGTTATTATTCTTCCTTCTAAAATGAAGGGGCACTTTGCTGTCACGTTCTCCTGTGGCATAGGAGAAAACTAAATCCAGGTTTCTATCAGTCTGATTCACCAAATGTATATAGGAAGGGGTTTAAAAGTCCACTTTCTGATATGTCTTTCTACAGAGAGAAACGTACAAGCATTTCTGTTGCTGTTTTGGACTACTTAAATTTGTGAGCATAAGACTACTAAAACACACACTTGAAGCTGTACTGCTGCTGGAGAATTATTTTTCAACCATAGTAATTGCCCAGAATTTAAAGTTAGTCTTGGGGGCTGAGGGAAAAGGGAAGTGGGAAGGGTCTATCCAGCCAAACCAGAAACTAGGCAGATGCTTTTTAACCCCCAAGATAATCCTATTCCCAAATCTATGTCAAAATTAGATTATGCGTTTATATGTAAAAGGGAAAAAATGGTTTAAAAATACCTCATTTAAGAAGGATGAAAACATTTTATAGCAAAAGAAATACACTTTTATAGGAGAATATCCTGTTGTGGTGGAGTTTATAAATACTCAGCTTCCCCACAGCCACCACACCCTAAATGCTCTATGAAGCCAAAATTACAGAGAAGTGTATCTGGGAAATATGATTGCCTCTAAAGAGGGTCCCAAGCCAAAAAATGCAGACAGGTCTAAACATCTCCAAAACTAGGGGTTTCAGACTGACTTGATCGAGATAGCTGTGGCTGGAAAGGGGGTTCAAACGTGGCTTCTAACCAATTTCTACACCCTTTTGGCCTCAAAGGAAGAGGGGTGATACAGTGTAGACACTTGGGGGTTCCCTAGCATTGGAGGAATCCTCAGCTATATGCTCAGCTTTAACTTCAGCTACATGCTCAATGGCAAAACCCAACATCAGACTACAAAACTACCCACAAAGTTTTGATCTAGTGCTTAATTGTGTTAGGGACCATGATTTTGGTCCTATCTCTGACTTCCTGTTAAGAGCCTATTCCTGCAGGTCTCACAAACCTCAGCTTCTGACAGATTTTTAAATGCACATCACAAATGCAACTGAAAGCATTCTATAGATGTTCTGAAACAATGCGGGAAAGGGCAGTGAGAATGAGTAAGAAATCTTGCAAAAAAGGCAAGAGGAGGTATAATTAGAGAGAATGTGACTCTAACCTGATGAGTCAGAGGGGGTAAGTGGCCAGTAAAAGAGAGTGCTAGATGATGATAAATTAGCCTTTCTGACTGGCTAAAACCAAATAGCCCAGCTGGAACCTGTAGCTCCCCTTCAGCTGCAGCCAGTGTAATCAAAGCAAAGAATTGCAGGATAAACCTACAAGTCCAACTTGTAATTTCTCCTCTCTTGCTCACTACCCAAGATGAAAGCACAATTTGTTGGTAGATGCTCTGTCTGCTTGGATCCTATGTGCTTATCCATTATTTTCCTTGGGATCACTTGAAACAGTATTTGTAAGTAATGAATACTCTTGTGTATGTATATCTGAATGTTCCCCAAATGCTAGGTACAAAACAACATGCTTTGATAGTCTGCAAATGGCCTTGGCTCCCAGAATTTCAAATCTGAGTTAAAAGGATAGAGGTCTCAAAGACATACTTGTGTTTACCTAATTCAGAAAACTTTATAATAATAACCAATGAACCATTTTTTTCTAAGGATTCCTCCCTCAACCAAGTTCTGCACTCTGGAAATATACCAGTTAAAAACTACAGACTGTGAAATCTCTATAGCAGTGTACAGCAGTAGCAGATAGATAATACAAGTCCTTCAACTGGGGTAACTTCTCCCAATCCAGTGGGGAACTACCCTTCGCAGAATCAGGGGCAAAACTCTTCCAGCGGAAGTCTTACTGGTTTAGATTTTGCCTGTTTGCATCAAGGACCAGGTAGCCATTTGCTAAAGGCAAACAAGTCATGATCTGCACCAGTACAGCCAGCTGACAAGCTGCAGTAATGGCTGTCTCCTGCATGAAGTTGTTCCAGGTGATGGCCTTTTTCTCTAGTGGAGATATGCAGAGAGGTTTGCATTTACCCTTCACTTGCGACTGCTTCTCATAGCCTCTCTTTGCTCCATGTTTTTACAGCCCTCTTCCACTTAAGCAACTATCTTCACTTGCACACTAGAGTTAAACAAGTCATTGTTTTATCTGGTATTTAGCTTAGGTTTCTCTCCCAGACTTGAAGAAGGGAACATTATGCCTGACAGTTTGTCTAGCATCTCTCCCAACTATACAGTTGGTCCAATAAAATCTGTCACCAAAAACATCCTTGCTGCCAGCTTGCACATTGCCAAATTTACCATTTGTGCTAAGAATTTCCTAATATAAGCAAACTAACCAGAATGGGGAGAATACAATTGCTGTGTTTTAACAAGGTGCAATACAATACTATGACAGGACTAGGGCTTTATTTTCATTACTGGCACATCAGCTTATGCAGCTTTAAAATGGCTATATGTTTAGTAAAGCTCATTCACCTTCTTATACATAGGGTGCAATATAAAGCTGCAACATTGTTAATAATTATTACTGATCTTTGAGAGCTGGAAGAAATGGAAGCTAGAGGAAATGTACATTCAGCTAAAAAGAAATTCAGAATCCATGAAATAAGTTCTCTCATTCTGACTTTAACATTCTATCATTTATCGGAGTCTCCTTTCTTTAAGTTTCACAATGAAAACAAATAGTATTTTATCATCCATGATGCACAAAAGAGTTAATTTCAGCCAAAATTTCTGATGTTCTCTGCAGTGATCACTTGTCAGTATTTCTTTTCCTCTCATATCATGAAATCAGGCTTTGGCATTAGGGTACAGTGAAAAAAAAACAGGAAACAAAAAGAAAAATATTTTTGTCAAACAAACAGTAGCTTTCCAAAATCAACATGAAGTGTAATTTGTTTGGTATACAACAAAAAACAAACAGTTGAGAGTGGGTGCATGCGCGTGTGTGTGCGCGTGCACTGCATGTGCCTTATTTCTTAGTTGCTTACAATTCTACAGGAATCTATTATGTAGTTGTATCTTGTGCATGCAAACAGGCTTACTTCACAACCCATTTTAATTTACCTTATCAAATTAAATCATGGTCATATGAATTATAAGAGATTCTGTTCAGCAAACATCTGCAAACACTAGACAGAGCTGTAGCACAACATTTCCTTGGACTTTCTTCTTTGGCTTTTATGTTGAAATCTTTTGTCCAGGCTGTTTTTTAAGTCTAAACAACAATCCGTATAAACAATTCAACTCCACTGAACCTTAGAAGCTGGCTGTAGGCATCAGGTAACAAAATATAAATATTTGTGACTTATTGTCTTATAAAGGAGAGAGCGTGGAAATATGTAGGACAAGGTGGCATTGGAAAATAAAATTAGTAAGTTACTCATGCTCTGCAATATCTAAAGCATATAGAGTTCACAGAACTGAAATACTGTACATCAGGCAGGTCAGTGTAATCCAAACCTAGGCACTGTGAAGCTTTCTACAAAGAGATAGTGATCTCACACAGTAGTATAAAGAGTGCCAACAGCTACCCCAACTCGATAGCTGAGGATTCCTATGATGTTGGGAGAAACTTGGGATGACATAAAAATGCGTAGCCAACTCTCCCCTGCATGGAGAGAACAGGTGTTCCTAGGCAGACCAAGGGAATAAGCTTACAGAAGGGCACACGGCTGATGTTTTGCTGGGGGGTGGCACTTTGACCCAGAAAAAGGGAAAGTGAGGGAAAAGGAGCAGTGAAGGAGATGGTGGCAGAAAGGGAAAGGTCAAAGCAGTCATAGTACTGTCTGCATTCTCCGACAGTGACATTACTTTCTATGTCTTTTCTCTCATTGTTTAAGAAGATGTTAATCTTCTGTTAACCAGAATGTACACAAAGCTCCCTACAGGCTAAAACAGAGTCGGGGTTATTCCTGGTCTGACAGCCTCTGCTTTAAGCCGATCAAAACAGGTGGTTGAGGGCTGAGGAGGGCAATCATTTACACATACAGTTTGAATGGCAATTAACTTGTACTAGCACCCCACACTGCGGGGTTATCTCAGATACTTCACAGGTACTTAAAGTAGGACAATGGGGGCATGTCCAGACAAGGGTGAACATGCCTCTTGTGGCATCTCAAACCAAGTTGTGATGCTGCAAGAGGCATGCTGGGAACAAAAAAATGTTCCCCACGCTGCATATTTGCAGCATGGGCTCTAAATTTGATACCTGGAAATCCAGGCATCAAAATAAAAAACTAAAACCCACAGAAAAAAAGCGGGCCAGGGCACGCTCCTATAGCACACCCTGAAGCAACCAGAAGCAGGGTCCTCCAAAGAGACGCTCTGGCAGGTGGCCAGAGTATCTCTGTGGCTGCCCCTTGCCTCGGTACTCCAGCATGCAGGACAAACTGAAGCGGGGCAAGGCTGCAGCATGACTCACGTTGGCCTCATCTTAAGCTCGTATTTAAGAAAGATTAAGGTTTCTTAAAATTGCATTCAGCGAGTCTCCAGCTAACTGGTTTCTAATATAGTTTGGCTTTGTTAGAAACATTCTCTAAAAGGAACGCTAATTTAAACTTTTCCTTAGTCAGACACAAGTTGTTTGGACATGATTTTAAGATGGCTGGGATTTATTCACAATGGCCAAGAAATTGGTCTTGCTGGAACTGTGTTTTAAATGCATTTCCCCACTTCAAGCTAAAGGTCACAGTGAATGCTTATAGCATACCAGTTTCTTCACCCTCCAAACAGGCTCCTGATGAACTCTTTTGGCAAGATTTCTGTGTATATTAGCATTTAACTATTTTAAATAATACAAACATTTCAAATCAAAAACACCATCTGATGTACACTCACCATCTTGCGTGTTTTGACTGAGGATCTGAGTGCGTAGTTCTTCCAAGCTAATTCCCAGGCATTTACAAATTTCCTGTATGCTGTAAGGCTCGGGATGAAATACCTCCTTGACAATGGTCAGCATTTCCTCCAGGCTAAACCCTAGCTCAACCTGCACATCTTGGAGTTTCAGCATTTTTTTCCAGGCCAGGCCTTTTGACTTGGAGAGAAGCTACAATTTGAAAAACAGACAACACTAAGCCTTGTGGTTTGCAACTGACCTGAAATATTTCATAGTGCAAACAGACGTTAAAGCTGCTGCTTCCCCTCCCAGTAGAAGCTGTTGAGCTTCTTATTACATAATAAATAGTATAATCGTATGAAACATGTTCATAAAATAGGAAGAATTCAGTCAATTATAGCCCTGAAAATGATGCATTCTTTTTAATTAAAAAGCTAGCTTAAAACATGTATTGGCATTGTCTCTCTACTCAAATTAGCTATCCCTCCTTTTTCACTGAGGCCATCCCTTCAAACAGTCGCTTGCTTTTTAAAGCCACCATCAGACAGTTGTTCATACATGTGTTATAGTTCAACAGAACTGGACATTTCCTTAAAAGACTGCTTTCTATAGTAAGTATTTTTGCTCTTTGTTATAAACTCAGCCTGACTTTTTCCAAGTGCTCCTGGATGTGATTGATGAATCCAAAGATCTGATGCTGTGGTTATAATCCTAACTTTTTAGGAAAACCTTGAGATACTAAAGTTTAGGTTGGACCAAGAACCTTAATTGCATTAACAATACAATGACATTTTTTTTTTCTCGGGGAATATAATGAAGCATGGGAGTTATAATAAGTCAAAACTCGGAATGTGTTCTGCTCCCACATTATGCTGATTAACTATAGTCAAGTTTTTCAGATCATCCCAAAGAGGGTGCCATGCTATACAGGTTTCCCTCGCCTTACACTGTGCATGCGTTCCTGGAAAATGGCGCATAACTCAAATTCACAAAAAGGGAACGCACTTTACAGTGTAACAAACAGGGATACATTCCAAGACCTCAATTGTACTGACCCCAGACTCATTTCTACCATTTTTACAAGACAATTTTGGTGCTCACCAACAAAAGCCAGTACACACAAGCACAAGGTGGTGGTGAATGGGGATGGCAACTACATAAACACTAGGCCTGTGCGAAGCTGCTAGTATTCGCTTTGGATTCGGCCAATTAGGGGGACAGTGATTTGATTTGGTGATTCAAATCACTGTTGCAGTGAACCCGGACTCTCTGAATCATCGAAGCTCTTCAAATCTTTTCCAAGGATTGGGAAAGCTTTGAATCAATTCGGACCTTTTTACTGGTCCCCTGATTCGTTTCGGATTTGGAGATTTGGCCACCGAATTGGGCCAAATCTCCTCCAAATCGAATCACCACCCAGAGCTTCGCAGAGCCCTAGTAAATACATGTCACAAACAACAAGCAAGGAGCACAGATCCACACAGGATATTTTGGTGCTCATTACTCTCACAATTCACCGCACAAAGCAGCTGACTGTGCACTTCCACCACACCGATCGAATAAGAGTGAATTACCTCGCATATAATGAATTTTTGGTATAAAAAGGGTCATCGCATAAGAGCAAAGTCACACATACAGTACCTGCATAAAGCGCGGGAAACCCGTATACTGCATTAGCTGTCTCTGTGCTGTTATGGTAGTTGATGCTTGCTATTTTAACACTTGCTATTTTAAAGACTTTCTTGGAAATTTAGAACATAAAGCAAAACAAAAACAAAAAAACCCACCAACACAGCAACTACAGAACTGACTCTCTCACTTATTACTGTGAGGAAATGTATTCAATTTAGCCCATCATGGGATTTTTCAAAACCATATCGCTAGTAAGAGAGAGATCCATAAGGTCATTCCAGGGATATTTGACTGGATTATATACCTCCGATTCAGCAGCACTGAAATCACAGGTAAACCCCCCAGAAATTTCCTATGTTAAGGAAAGCTACACATCCCTGCAAGCCGATATTGGCGACCAGGGTGGACGACTGGAGACCCTCTGGGTTAAAATCTGTGGGGAACACGGCACAGGGGACACAATGGTGGGAGTCTATTACAGACCTCCCACCCAAAGTCCTGAGCTTGACCAGGAGTTTGCCCAGGAACTGGCTGAGGCAGCATGCTCCAGGACCATGGTTGTCATGGGTGACTTCAATTACCCGGACATCTCGTGGGAGGATCGCTCAGCACAATCTGAGCGGTCGCAGAGCTTCCTCTCGTGCGTGGATGACCTCTACCTGACTCAAGAAGTCTATGGGCCAACGAGAGGCAAAGCACTGCTCGACCTGGTACTGGCTACTGGGGATGACCTAGTCGGCGACCTAGTGATCGATGGGAAGCTGGGTGACAGCGACCACGAGCTGATCACCTTCACCATCCGCCGAAAAGCTGG